TTATCATATCGTTCACATTATTCTTTGCAAAACGTGGTGCACGGGGCTAGCTATTACTAATCTATACTATTATTAAGAGAATCTTCCTTTGTCAAAATTTTACCATTTTGTTCTTATTTTGCTCTCATTTTTTATATACAATATTTACATAAGGAGGGTAAAATACTAATTTTGTATCTTTTGCCCCCTTTTTCCTATTTTGCCCTCACTTTTGATACACAATACTTACATAAGGAGAGCAAAATAGTAATTTTGTATCTTTTGAGAAAATGACAATTATATCCCCATTTTTCCTATTTTACCCTCACTTTTGACACACAATATTTACATAACGAGAACAAAATAGTAATTATGTAATATTAAGATAAAATATGCACTTATTAAGAGAAATTGTCTCACCAATTTTTTCATACTCTTTTTAAAATTTTAAAAACTAATCACACTCCTTAATAAAAAAAACAAAATGAAATTGTTCACACACACAAAATGTGTGCTCATCAACTAGTTTAGTATAAAAGAAGTTGAGGTTTTATTTTATTTTATTTTTAATCAAATACAAAGTTGAGACTTAACTGGGATAGAAAATAACAAGTTTTAAAAATGGGAATTCTGAAAAGTAACAAAAATAATTTATGGTTAATGATTCCTTTTCAATTAATTTATTTACGCTTAAATAACATGCAAAATAATTAATAATTTTGAGATTCGGAGAGTTTGAGTAAATATTAGAAAGCCACTGGTTGTGGCCTGGACCATGTACAACCAACGAAGCAATTGATATTCTTCTAAAATTCTGATACTAATCATGTAGAATTAATTAGAATAATCGATCAATATTAATCGAGTGAGAGCTATGTTTATCGGTATATATACATCATACATACATATATATATATATATATATATTAATTTTGTCTTCTAGAAGTTCTGATATTCTCTTGTGCCACTTGACACATAACCTTTTGTGAATCGTGATCGATCTAATTTTGACGATCATGTGTATGATTCAGACTGATGATTACCCAGCTTGCAGTGAAGCAAGTTGGAACCAAAGCTCGGGACCATCAAGATTCTTAATCTCCATCCATAAGGTCTGCAGTTGTCAAAGAAGTATAAACCCTTAGCATCCATAAGTCCTTAACTTGCAACTCTTTGTTTTTTTTTTAAGGAATCATTGTGATCTAGGTGCAACAAAGTGTATATATGACATTCCCATCATGTAAGAAAAGAGAGATAAGTGCAATAAGGTGTACACTCTGCTGAACCTAGGTGTCAAACTATCATCGGGTATAAAAACATAAAATTGGAAATTAATATATGTTCATTTTGTAAATATTCATTATTCTTAATTACCTAGTAATTCCATTAGTTGCACTTCTTTTTATTTAGGCCCAAAATTTTTCTATTACTCATCTCAAAATTGATGTTTATCATTTTCTTAAGGATAATACTTGGATACTCATTAGTGAGTATCACCTTTTGATTTTGTCCAATGATATTCTAACACTTTTTTATGTTAGACATGTTATTTAATTTTTCTTGGATTTAAAAAACAAGGAACACATGATTTTTTTATTGAGCCAAATCAGAAAGTGAATACATACTTACTAATGAATAATTAAATATTATCCTTCCCTTAAGATGACCTAGCTAGTCTACTTTGTTAATTGGATATTGTTATTCATACACCTATTTTAAGTCATACACACCCTTGTTAATTTTGTTGTTGTTGATCTTCTTCAATTCATTGAATTCGACAACCGGAAATTGAGGAATGTGTGAAAAGTAAAAAGTAGATGTATGGATATCACTACCTGTTAAATTAACAAAACAAATTACAGTGCATCTGATGACGTAGCCCTAGGGGAGAAATTTATAGTGCTATCACTTATAAGTTATAGGTAAGTTATTGGTGAAGAAATAAATAAAATAAGGGGGGAAAACTGTTAAATTCACAAGACACGAACACAAATTAAGATATGGTTATGGATATGGTCCATGTGGATCCTTGATGACTCACGTATATAACAAAAAAGACATTTATTTATTAGCATCACAACAACATTCTTGGTTCTGGAGTGGTTCTTGGCGTTTTGGTGTTAAAAGCAAAACAATTAGGCATGCATACTCATAACTAATTTGTTTACAAATAATAGAAAAAGACAACAACGTTACTCACGTAGGGCCTGTAAATTACAGGAATAAATCATTTTCCGATTGCTAATTAATCTTCGTTGTCAATACATTCAACAGTCCGTACGTACTACATTTCAAAACTCAAAGACTCAAAAGTCTCCCGGTGTTACTTTCAAACCCTAATCAAACATTAATATATAGATTAGGGACCACAGTACAAAATAATTAGAGTAAACATTAAGCAAGAGATATTTCCGTAATACAATAGTATCTATGGCTCTAGCATTCTAGCTGCTCGTACGCCTATGTGTGATTGTTCTTCGTTGATGGATGTAAGCATGGAGCTTATAGATTTACATTCATCAACGATAATTATTGATCACACACTGGATCATGTTTTAGCTGTTGATGAATGCATGTGAAATTCATGCGACAAGTTTATGTATAGACGCAATGAAATCTCATTCATCAAAGAAGAAAGTGAGAGAGGGAAGGAAAGGGGAGGGGATTTGGAGAGGAACTTGCCAAAGAGGAATTTTTTAGTGTGTCTGGAACACAGGGTAGTATACCATATGTAATTATATAACTGAAGGAAAATTTTATTTTTTAAGTGTTCCTCTACTTATGTAATAACATGTGATACCACTCTATATTTCGGACACAATGAAAAATCTCTTTTTTTCCAAAATGCACAACCTCAAAAGTTGAAGTTGATAATGCATAAACCCCGAGTCACCCGACATAGTAAAGAAGGTTAGACCAATGTATGTGGCTTAATTTTGCTGTAGATCCCAATCATGCATATGTATATCTCCTATAGTTTATCTACTCAGAGATTCTTTCTTTATTTAATAATTATTTTATTAATTGCAAATTACATTAAAATTCAGTCACAGAGAACCAGCACTACATCAACAATACTTTGTACTTAAGGTATTCACCCCGCCACAATAAAAAAGTTTATACTGAAAATAAACTAAAAATGCTAAATGCTCATAACTAGTTCAGTTATAATCCTCTTGCTGCAAATAACCATTAAATTTCTAGAGAGAGTGCATAACATCATAATAGAAAATAAGTTATTCATCCAGTAACAACCACAAAAATAATGCAAATATGCACATAAGTCAACACGCTTAGTTAAATGAACCAACATAAAATAAACTCAAAACTACGAGCTCTCACAGAATCAGATTGACATCATATTTGGATCTCAAGATGGACCCATCAATCCTGACCACTCAATTTAAATCATTCGGCCACCATTAGCCCCATCCCACTAGCCCACCATACACATAAAACCACACCTTATCTCTCTCTTGAATGATCCGAATTGTTGAGCCAATGAGCTCCAGAGTTTAAGATCCAGAGTTTGAGAATCGGAGATGATCTCAATCCCACCGAGTCATGTTCATTTTTCATTTGTAAGAACTTAAAAGATTAATTTGATAGGTAGTTGAGGATGAATTCACTTTTCACGTAGGTTGTGCGCATGGCATGAGCTGTTAATATCACCACCATATTGATAATATAATAATGGTACAGTATTTATAGAAAATTATTATTAAAACTTCACAAATTTAACTGTGCATTTCTCATAAGAGTACCAGCACAACTCCATGAGAGGGTACATCAACAATACTTTGTACTTAAGGTATTCACCCCGCCACAATAAAAAAGTGTATACTGAAAATAAACTAAAAATGCAAACACATGCGTAAAAGTAAATGCTCATAACTAGTTTAGTTATAATCCCCTTGCTGCAAATAACCAGTAAATTTTTAGAGAGAGTGCATCAACATCATAATAGAAAATAAGTTATTCATCCAGTAACAACCACAAAAATAATGCAAATATGCACATAAGTCAACACACTTAGTTAAACGAACCAACATAAAATAAACTTAAAACTATAAGCTCTCACAGAGTTAGATTGACATCATCTTTGGATCTCAAGACGGACCCATCAATCCTGACCACTCAATTTAAATCATCTGGCCACCATTAGCCCCATCCCACTAGTCCACCTTACACATAAAACCACGCCTTATCTCTTTCTTGCATGATCCGGATTGCTGAGTTAGTGAGCTCCAGAGTTTAAGATCCAGAATTTGAGAATCAGAGATGATCTCAATCCCACCGAGTCATGTTCATTTTTCATTTATAAGAACTTAAAAGATTAATTTGATAGGTAGCTGAGGATGAATTCACTTTTCAAGTAGGTTGTGCGCATGGTATGAGCAGTTATTGATAGTATAATAATGGTATAGTATATATAGAAAATTATTACTGAAACTCCACAAATTTAACTGTACACTTCTCATAAGAGTAATTGTCTTTCTAAATATAGAAAGTTTGGAGTGCACAATTAAATTTTTGAAGTGTCAATAATAGTTTTATATTTCTATACTATCAATATAATAGATATAAGTTATCAATCCACTATTAATACAGGTCATGCGCAATTCACGTGCATAACCCGCGTGCGCAGGAGAGAATTTCTGGGTAGATGAGTACCTTAACAAAGTTTAGGTTTTTGTTGGGAATCGGATTGGTTTCTAGGCTATTATAAATGGGCCACAAATTGGAAGCCCAATAATATAGTCTCCAACTCTGAATTATGGGATCCACAAAAATTGCTAGATTTGGATATGGACCATGCTATCTCAAGCCCAACTGAAGAATAACCAAAACGCAGCGTTTTGCCACTCTGAACCGCCCAGTAGAGCGACTTCGACGTGACGATGTCGGCAGCTCGTTTAACCAATCGCCACTTGGACCGCATTCGGAGCTTCGAGCAGCAGGTGAGGTGACCACTCCATCGCTCACCGCTCAATTCCAATTTCCAAATACCCGAAAACCCAAAAAAAGAAGAAAAAAAAATCTCGGTTCAGTTCTCTGTCTCTCTCCTCTTCGCAGCTCAGAGAGAGAGGGAGAGGATTGAGGACTCTGCCCATCTCTCACTTGAAAATTTAATTCGAAATCGCCCCCTGCAATCGGTAAGATCGTAACCCGCTTTTGTTTTTTCATGTTTGATTGTTTGACTTTTGATTTGGATCTTGCGGGGTTGATTTTCCGGAACTGGAGCTAAATATTTCAGATGGGGTTTCTTTTTAGCTGTTAAAGTTTGGATCTTTTTCGAATTTTATGTAAATTATGGATTGTTTGATTATTTTAATTGGGGTTTTGGGGGTGCAGTAATTTTGTAATGTTTGGCTGATTCTTCTGAATGTTCTGGTTATTTGAACTCATAGATGTAATGGGTAGATGCATCTGTGATTAGTTTAATCCCAAAGTATAAAATGTGATTAGTTTATTGCAAGTGCGGTTTAAAAAAGTCCAGTTTCCTGATAAATTTACTGTGTGTTTTTCTTCAGGTCTGAGTTTTACTAATGCCTCAGTGTATCTTCATCATCTTTGCTTTGAGATACTGCTAAGTAATTTTAGTTAGTGATGATGTGTTAGTGAAACGGTGGTTGTGGTAAAAAAAAATGTGGAATTTTGCATCCAGCTGCATAGCTGGAAGTGTTGGATTGAAAAACGATCCTCTAAAGCCGACGCAAGCAGCTCTCGAATGTTCTGATGACGAGAGTTCTTCGGTTGTTGGCAGAGAGGAAGGACTAGAGTGCCCCATATGCTGGGAATCATTCAACATTGTTGAAAATGTGCCCTACGTTTTATGGTGTGGCCATACCCTCTGTAAGAATTGCATTCTGGGATTGCAATGGGCGGTTGTGAAATTCCCCACTTTACCGGTTCAGCTTCCGCTTTTTATCTCCTGCCCTTGGTGCAATCTATTGTCCTTCCGGCTCGTTTACAGGGGAAATCTCAGATTCCCTCGCAAGAACTACTTTCTTCTCTGGATGGTTGAGAGCATGAATGGTGATAGGGGGCCGAAATCTAGTTCTACCTTCTCTGGTGATAATCAGTCAGTCTGGCCGGCTAATGGAAATGTATCCGTCGGAACTCAAACGAGCCACGGTACCCACAGGAGGGGGCAACATATTCGCCATATTGAACAATCTGGGTCGAATCACAATCGTGGCCCTGTCAATAATTTCCTTAGTGTGGAGCGCTTGCATTCTTCGATTCGGAAGTCACTGTTTTTCTTCGTTCATTTGACAGCAAAGTTCCCACTGGTTGTCATATTTCTCCTGATCATCTTATACGTAATACCTGCCTGTGCAGCCATATTGGCATTGTACATAGTCATCACCGTCGTGTTTGCTCTCCCGTCATTTCTTCTTCTGTACTTTGCATATCCTAGTTTGGATTGGCTTGTCAGGGAAATCCTCACCTGAGGTGCTACCGACTTCTTTGTTCACAAGCACTATGAATACAACTTTGCTCCTACACATCGGTGGCGCCTTCTATCCGTACTTTTAGTATTCAATTTGACGACTTACCAGGTTCCAAGATGCAATGTTATTGCCGGAATCATTTCAGCTCGCATAGATGTTAGCTCGGGCATGTTAGTTTCGGAAATTTTGTTTCACGAAGATAACAGCCTCACGCTTTTTGCAATGCTCTTGCTAGAAATACAGTTTGATTAGGTTTTACAGGGTTTTGTTTGTATGAAGATTTGTGTTGAAATAAATATGTTTTGTAGTTTCTATTGCTTTTGCTGCAACATAGTTGTAGGTGATTAATCTGCGAGTAGTAGGTTTTGAATTTTTGGTTGCACATATTTCGAGACTTGGGAGCAGCCTCTCCATAAATGGGGGTAAGGCTAGTCGACAGTCACCTCTCCCAGACCCTGCGTAAAGCGGGAGCCTTGTGCACTGGGTACGACGACATATTTTTTGTAAGAGAGCTTTCGGGCTCGAGTCATTTGTATATGCTTGGCTTATTTGTTTCAATTCTCGCGATATTATGCTTGTAGTTGTTGAGATTGTAGGATGACGAGTTAGTTTTGATAAAATTTCAACGAAACAAACACGTTAGGGGCAAATGTAGGCGATTTACGGGGGCAAATGTAGGCGATTTACGCCTACATGCTAACGTTGTGTAAAAAGAAATGGACGGAATTACTCATTTTCCTCGAATTGCAACAATCAGTAAACTTTGAAGTTCAAAATCTCAAGCAAATGAAATTCATAATCTTGCTAAAGGTATAATTCCGTCGATGAAATTGATTCGAAACATGTCGATGCTTCCTCCTTTTCTCCTCAAGAAGTTGTTTATCAAGCCTGTCTATCCCTACTATCCACAATAAATCTAAAAATTCTTAGAAAATCCATACCAGACAATTGGACTGGATCCTCCACGTGTCAAAAGCACAACCTGGTATTGCAACCTATGACTCTGCATTATGTTATGTACCACTCCTCTCTTGGTGGTGCTGAAGACAAAGTACTAACAGAAGGTTTCAAAAAAGCAATGGCAGCCGTTGCCGTTTCTTCTCCAAAATCCTCCATTTTTCAGAACCCAATCTCTCGCAGGGAGCCAAGTTCCGGTCTTTTTGGCGGGTCCTTGAAGGGTTTTTGTTTTCAGTTGAGACCCGGAAACAAGAGCAGAGATCGCATCAATTTGGTGGTTGCTGCCACAAACTCCACCACCATCAGTGGCAGCAGAGGCCGCGGCGGCGACCGGTTTTACATCAACTTCACCGGGTTTCCTTTTCCACTGGGTCCTTTTCTCAACAGAAGCACTACTAGGACTGAGGTCAGCTCGTTTTATTCTTTGCTTTTATTCCAATTAATATACTCGTAGTTGTTTTCAGCAGATAATGGCTTAAAATTTGGTGGTTTTGGCTTATGACATGATATGTTTATGCTCGCACTGAAATTCTGATCTTCCAATGTTTTCGGTTTTCATGTCCTTTTTCTCTCTAGTAGAAGCATGTTTATTAGAGCTTTTCAGATAGTAAAAATCAATGAAGAGAGAAGCTTTCACAGTTGAATGTCCAAAACTTCAAAGACGGCCTTGTAGATTTTGAATCTTGGGGTGCTTTATTGGTTGAACAAGTTATGTATCGATCAAGTAATCAGGATACACAAAGCTATGATCTTTGAGTGCACAGCAAGTTTTTACTCTGGATGACCCGAGTGATTGTATGTTCATGTGAATTGTAGCTTTTGCAGTAAGTTTACTCTCTTTTCCGCGTGTTCGTAGGCTGTGAAAGGCTGCATATGGTTATTTGAGCAAGAGCAAGCATTAGGCTTCAGCAGTGTGTCAACCAACATTAGAATGACAGTCATCAAACTAAAATCCGGAGGATTGTGGGTCCATGCGCCCATCGCTCCGACCAAAGAGTGTATTCAGGTTATATTTTGCTTACAATTCTTTCCATTCATACCTTTTTCTTGCTGAATCTTCTCTGAGGATCCGCAAATTTCTGCATATCCGTGCTTTTGTTATCCAACTTTTCTTATATGAGTGATCCTGTCTCTTGCCAGCTTCTGAAAGAGTTAGGGGCTCCCGTAGAATACATAGTTCTGCCTACATTTGCTTATGAGCACAAAATTTTTGTTGGTCCGTTCTCTAGAGAGTTCCCTCGAGCTCAGGTATGGGTGGCACCAAGGCAATGGAGTTGGCCTTTGAATCTCCCGCTGGAGTTTTTTGGGATCTTTCGTGCTAAAACCTTAAAAGACGAGGATTTTTCCACTCCATGGGCTGATGAGATTGAGCAGAAAGTTCTCAGTTCACCAGAAGTTGGTAATGCAAAGTGCAAAAGTTCCATCCGAGACTTCATTTTTATAAAGCAATTGCAAAAACTCATTTTCTTGTGGATATTCAGGTATCGGGCCATATGTGGAGGTAGCTTTCTATCATAAGCGTTCCAGAACTCTACTGGTAACCGATGCTGTAATTTTTGTGCCAAGACAGCCACCTGATTGTATCAGCAAAGAATCCTTGTTGGCATCTGCAAAGAATGGCTTGGCGGTAAAACTTCTTAGTAAAGGAAAAGAAGTATCTCAAGAACCAGTAGTTGACAACAAGATGAACCGTCAAAAAGGTAGAATCTCCATTCCTCCATTCCAATCCGAAATTTCATTATGGCGTCATTTTTGGTAAAATGGTAATCCAATTGGAGAGTTATCATGTATGTTTTGCTGAAAAAAGTTTTGAATAAAACGAACTTTTCGGTGTAGGATGGGAAAGAATGGTTCTTCAAATTTTGTTTCTTGGTCCATCAAATCTGTTGGAGCCGAATGCTAGCTTTGCTCAGATGTCACAGAAGCTGATTGTTTCACCCATTGTAAAGACTCTTGTCTTCAGCAAAGTTCCTGAAAAGGTAGTTGAACCATTCTGATTGTATTCAGTTTAGCTCGTCTTTTGGTATGCAAACTAGTTAGTGAAATCGCCAAATGTTATTCCTAACGAAGGGACATAGGCGTGGTTAAATGATATTTAGACATCCTTTTTCGGTGTGTGTGTGTGTGTGTGTGTGTGTAATAACCAGATCAATACTCTGCTTGTATGCATTTATCAAACAAAGATGACAAGAAATTGTTGGAACTTATATGCATTTCGGCACTATGACCATTTGTGTCTCAAAGCATTTTTCATACTTCAGGTCAGGGATTGGGTTGATGGAATCGTGCAGGACTGGAGGTTCAAGAGAATAATCCCTGCTCATTTTGCAGCACCAATCAACGCAGGCAGGTCTGATTTGTTAGCTGCATTTGCCTTTCTGGATGACCTTCTGGATGAGCCTTATGTCACTCGCCCATCACTCTCTCTTCTCTTCACATCACTATTGGGAAAGGCCGCGAGCTACTTCCCTCCCGATGACATGAAGACTTTATCATCCCTCGATCAGTTTTTGGTCTCGGTTGGAGCTGTGAAAAAGACCGTCTCAGGGCGCAAACGATGACATTACATGGTATGCAACATGCAAATTTTCCGGCGGAGACTTCACCTGTTGAATTTACTTACTCATGAATGGTTATGAATCATAATGTTTTTGTTATTTAACATCCTAAAGTTGTATTCAATTACTTGTAGTGGAAGATTGCATGATATTATAGTACAGAAGCAACAGGTGCGATACAAAGTTTCTTCTTGTGTTTTACTTCGAATACATCGCATCATAATAGCGTGTTACTAATTTATGTGTTATAATAGGGGTAAACGACATAGTTGATAGGTCAAAAATTTAAGATATAATGTTAATAAATAGATTCATGCGTTATGACATGAATGAATTAGAAATACTATGTGGCTACGTAACAGTCACACACAAAAATTTCTTGAAATTTAAAAAAAAAGAAAAAAAAAGTTTATTGGTAGTACTTTGTATTAATAGGCATCTATTTTTGTTATTCATTAATAGGATGCTGAAAATGTAAGATCTCACGTCGTCCAGGGGAGTGGATCATGTAAGTCATATATATTTTCATCTCTACCTAGCATGAAATTTTTTGGGAGCTCACTGGCTTCCATCGAAACTCCGAAGTTAAGCGAGAAATGGGCTAGAGCATTCCAAGAATGGGTGACTCACTGGGAAGTTGCTCGTGAGTTCCCGGAAACAAAACCGTGAGGGCGTGGTCGGGACCTAAAGTGGACAATATCATGCTACGGTGGAGTCGAGCTGGGGATTTGGTGGGGGCTTGGGCCGATTAAGCGAGAAATGAACTAAAACATTCCCAGAATGAGTGACTCACTGAAAAGTTGCTCAGCGGGTTACGGGAACAGAAGGACCCACAAGCGTCAAATTCAAGAGCATAAGCTGAAATTTATGAGTACTCCATAGTCTACCATAAAATGGAGAAAACTCTAACGTTTAATCAATAATAATATGAATAATTTGAATTAAAACTCCAATTTAGGCCTTTATATAGACGTTAATTCTAATAGTAATTTACTCAAAACTTAAACATTCCAAAACCTATTCAAACAACCTGAATATTCTAACGATATGCCTTTTTATATTTTATTACAAAATAAAATACTTTATAGTTGAATGCGAATTTTCTTTCTTACGTCATCTCTCGTCAATCATCCACCGTTGTCTTTTCTTTAATTTTAGCCACTTAATCTACATCAAAATCTGAGCCAACTTTAGATATGAACTGTTTTATCTTAATTTTCTCATTGACGACATATTAATTATAAGATAGAAGAATGGTATGCAGGCACATATAACTTGGTAATTTTGGCAATTGTCATGATATTCAATAGGCAAAAGCTTCAAGGAAAGCAGCAATCATGAAGCCAGTTGTTTCAATAGATTATGGGAATATTTCCCTCCAATTGATAACTTAAGGACTAATTAATTATCTGAAAGAGACTAATGAATTATGATTAGGACATTGATACTTGAATATGGAACAAATCTACTTTATCGTTCGAAGGTCAACTCCGCAACCAAATTCTTCTGCCAACTGCATTTAGCTTCTGGAGAATGATTATTAGGTGTTGATTGATGTAGGTGTCACAGAAGGTTTCAACTTTCAACCTTCTTAATAAAAATGCAAGTGAATCATAGAAAAACACTACGTAGTTCATACAAAAAGCACATACTGATACTTCTTACATGATTGCAAGAAGCACTACAAGTTCTTTTTGAACTAAAAACATTTTCTCTAAATGCGTTTTTAAACATTTTAAAAGTGCTTCTAAACGAGTCATAATTGTTATAAGATGAAAAAAAAGTTCGGAAACAAAACACTAATTGAACCAGTTACAAAACTTTGATCAAAAGCAAAACAGGAGAGATGCTAAAACGCCAATAAAGGGGCACTAAATAGTGATTCGTACAATTTATCATTTGTAAATTGTCCCTTCATTTGTTTTCATGATTAAAAATTTGTAACCAGTTCTTTTAGCTTGTAATACATATTTTTTAGTCAAAAGAGTGGGAGAGAAACGAAGGTGACTTTTTCTTAATTACTCTATTGTCTCTTGGCCCTTTTTATGCTTTAACTTTGCTCCAAGTTTGGGTATTGCTTTACATCAAGCTTTAACACACACTTTTCCTCTGTCGTGGGGAACATGGGGACAAAGTCGTAATGCCTCGAGTCCGCAAGATGACTTTGAACCGTCGATGAAGTGAATTTTACTTAAACATGCGTGTGTAAAATGATTGTGAACTCTTAATGAAATAAGAACACTGACCACACTTTGTTTCTGAATTTTGAGAATTAAGAACCGACCTTTTGTTTGTTTAAAAGATAAAATTAATAAAGAAATTATTATATCACTTGCTACACCTTGATATAATATTATTTAGTCAATGTAGATATATTCCATAACTTTTATTTAATCGTACCTAACTTTGATATGATTGAAATATGTAACTCCAATCAATTCAACTGAACAAGGATCCTCTCCAGATCTTTTTTGTGAGAATTTTCCTTGGATTTTCTTTGTGAGAATCCTAGGGATCCTTAAATTGTGTTAGTTCATCGTACATCGTGTAGCCAGTTTTCGTCAGGTACTATTCATATTTAATTTTAAATAAAAGTATTTAAAATAATTTCTGACCACACGATGTATAATGAACGGATACGATTGGAGGATTCTTAGAATTTTCACAAGAGAATTCAAAGAGGATCATCCTCATTCAATTCAACTACCCTAAAAATTATGCTAAATTATTATATTTAGTCCTCTTTTTTTTTTAGTCAAACGATAGATTTTGTTAGATTAGATAATAGATTAGTCACCGACAGGATTCGAACTTACATCGTCATGCAAGTGCACGACTTCTTTCCACCACTGTAGTACATAACCACTTGCATAAAGTTTAATAGTTAGAATCCCCAATTTATAAACATATATAGTTTTTTCAGGGAGACCCCATGATTTTCTTGTAGAAATCTACAAAACTAAGTAGACGTGGTGGCAATGCATGTCGAATTTCTCATTAGAATGTGTATGGTATTTGATTAAGTTTGGTTTTTTTTTCTTTCATATGAGTTTAAATTCTTCGTTTTAAATTAAAATAGTTTAAACTATTGATTGTAAAAAAAAAAATCAACAAACAGGTTAGCGTTTCAATAATAAATTCTATATGTTTATCATGAAAGCAATTTTGATGTGGAAAATAATAATTAATCGACCCTCTCATGATGAGTTGATGTGTATAATCCCACTAAAGGGATGAAGATGACAATCATAAATTTCTTAATTGGATTTTAAGCATCATCTTTATTCTCAATCACATTATTAAATTGTTTAATTATATCAACATGATCAACAATGAGGGAAAATGACACACCCCGACCGAGGTCAAGGCATGCTGGCCATCACGTGAGAGTGACGTAGCCATGCACAGTCGGAAGCGATAAAGATAGAAAGTATACAATAATTAACCATAATACTAGAGCACTACTAAGACAGAAGTGATAGGAGTTAGTTACAACAGTAAACACTCCTAATCAGAGCATAAAGTCTAGGCGCAGTCCAGTAGAATAAGTAATAGGTATACAGTACCAGGAATGTCATACTATTATATAGATAAGTCAGAGCTGCCAACGCCCTCTAGCCACCAACAGTAAGCTTACCTAAAACCTGGAAGGGCGCAAAACAGAAAATGTGAATGGGCAAAAACAAATGTTTTACAAAAATCATTTCATTTATCAAAGCTAACCTCTCGCTGTAAAACATGTATAATGTTTCCCATAATCAAGATATAAGCATATACATATACATATACATATATATATATATATATATATATATAATATATCTAAAAATCATATCAATTCAGTTCATGCTTCCATACATATTCATAGGATATATGCCATGCCAAATATAATAGAGTAAACAATTCAGGTGAAATATTTCATGGAAATGTGACATGTTAGCCGGAACCCATGTGGTAGTCTGTACAGCTGAATTCATAGCTCAAAAGTCACTCTAGCCGAAGTCACTACAATGACCTATACGGCAATATACTGCACTTAAGTCGGAAGCCCTAAGAAGGGTCTGTACGACAAGATTGGGTGAAATATAATTATGCTCAACTCTATTCTCTCATAATAGTCCGGCGTAGTTCGCTAGTCACCTACGAGTCGGAACCATGAATGGGTATACGACAAGGTTGCACTTAAGTTGGATCCAATATGAACATATAGTGCGGNGCTCTTC